TGCAATCAATCAAGCAAGAGGTATTGGGTGAGGAGGCCAGGAAGAAGATGTGATTCTACACCTATCAGGCGATGAGGCAAGAAAATGTATTGATAGAGTTGGCCGCAATAGTGTAAATGAACCAGAAGATATACTAGTGGAAATTAGAATTGTTATAGTGGAATAGTGAGTGAGGAGGAGCTTGATATAGAGATGGCTGCTATTATGATGACGCTGAGACAGTTGTTTGAAGACAGTTTATGATGATAGCTTTGCAGTACAGAGATAGAGACCAACAAGATAAATACTGCGCTCAAATTTGTTAGCACAGACAATATCGCAGACGTGTTAAGGCAAATCAAGTGGTTTACTATTTTAATGGACAGAGGCAGTTCAAGCAGAACAGACTATTTACCACCAACCAGAGGCAGTTTTCCAGAACATTAAGGGAGAGAACGGCAAAACACTCCCCCCTGATCCTGAGGAAGCAACAAAGTTTTGGTCAGATCTCTCAGGTGTCCCTGTCCAGCATGATGACAGTAAAGAGTGGATCAAAGAAATTGAAGAGAAGTTGCAAAAGAAAGTGCAGAGGCAAGCTGACATAACAATTCCCAAAAGGGATGTCAACAAAAGTTGGAGACTAGATTCCGAATTGGAAATCTCCTGGGCCAGATGGTATACAACCTTACTGTTAAGGTTGAAATGCTTTTAAAACCTACATGCGCAAATTGCAAGGCATTTGAATGATTGTGTTTGTGTTGGCCATGTGTCGGACTGAATGGTTGATGGCAGAACACTTATCATGAAGGGTAAGAACAAGGCTATTTTGGTGGAAAATTATGGATCAATTGCATGTCTTAACTTTTCGTGGAAGCTTTTGACTGGAATCTTTGCTGAGACGACATATCTTTACCATTTAGTGAGCAAGCTACTACAAGTTATGAACAGAAAGGGTGTGGCAAAGGTTCAAGGGGCACCAAGGACCACCTTGTCATTGATCAAGCTTCAGTGTTCAATCTAGAAACAAGAATCCCCGAAGGGCAACTTTTAACTGGGCTGCCAAGGCGCTATTTTTTCTGAAGGGAGGGGACGGCTATACACACTCAGGATAACATAAAACCTTGTCGCCGACCATTGCGTGAGACAGAATCTCCTGTGAAACTGAAATATAAACATTGTACCCTTTTGAAAGACTTTCGTAACAATGAAAATGAGTACCATTTTTAAGTGGGGCTGTAAAATAACTTTTGAATTCCACCATTATGAATAAAAATAAACCAGTTAGTCATTAATTCTAACCAGGAAAGTATCTGCATTATTTTTACGCACTCCCAAAATATAGCGTGACAGTATAACGTGACTAATTTGATGTAACCCGAAATTCCAAAAATTATTGTTGTTCTACGAGTATAAAATGCGACAGGGTCAGCTACTCGCCACTGGGCTAATTTACTCTAGACAGAAGAAACACAGAAGTTTACTATAAAACAGACTGCCAACTGCCCATTGATCCCGATCCAGGGGCCTCGCTGACTGCACTGAGACTTTAAATAGACGATCCTAATTTGCGGTCTACAGTCTACATGAAAACGCACTATTTTGTTCCACAAGATAAAAAATATTCAGTTTTAAGATTTTCCTTTTGGTATTTTTTCTAACTTAAAGGAATAACATCCTTTGCATTTTGTGACCTAAAAAAGTTTTAAGATTTCTCGCTCGCATGTTGCTTTCATCAGCATGCACTTTAAACAATGTAAATAGATGAAAAAATCGATAACATTTTTTTATCTGATACCGATATGAGTTAAAAATTCGCTCGAGTTCGCTGTTTGTCTCTCGACACCCATGACTAAGTTTTCTTCATGGCAGATAACTATGCCGCTTTATAACTCCTCCGAAGTCTTTGTGCCAGCTAAACAATATAGAAACACTATTCACAGCCCTTGGATATTAAAAAGACTGAACGTAACGCACAGTTTGCCCTTGTTTGCCTCTGATGACATCTGCTAGCGAACTCTCTCTTTTCAAGCGATTCATCTCAATGTACAATAATTGACCCTTATATTAATTAAAACCCTATGGTTCATTCATATTAATGCTGTTTTTGCCCCTCACATCTTCTGTCTTTGTTCGTATTCAAAACACCTTTAGGAAAATAAAGGTCGTGTAAGTCATGTGTATTATGTTTCGAGATAACTGGATTATACTCTTTCTTAAGTTCCCATATTTTGCGGTGACTTCAGTTTACATCTCCATAAAAAGGTACAAGAAACATCACGAAACATCACGCAAGCTGAAAATTTACAAAGGCATGTTTTTTGAAACTCGCTAATGCTGACATATATCGTGCTTGCTGAAAGGGCGAAAACACAGAATCGTGACAAGATCATGTACAAATTTAATGATAAAAGCTTAGCAAGATACAGATACAAACAAAAGCAAACCCCTGAAACCTCGACCTGGGCTTCACTTCTATGCTCTACTCAGTCACCAAACATTGTCAGTAATAGCTCCTATTTTCCTCAAGTTGGTCTTTGTAAAGCTCCCGGATGGGATGTCACGGTGAAGCTTTCAACTTGTGTGCGAAATTCTCAAAGTTCCTATTTTTGTCCGTGTCTTCTTTATCCTCAGTATCCGAAATCTAGACCTCCAAAGTGGCGTGTGTTGCATTAAATAGAAGGAAACATTTAAAGGAAAAGCCAGTCTTCTAACAAGGCAAAGTTGTCACGTGCCTCGCTCATGGACGTCCATTTCGTACTTCAGGATTCATCTGACATTCATCAGCAACTGAGTTGTTCGCTTCACTGAGTACGACAGCTTACAATCAAGTCTTCAGCCATGGTGTCGTCAACTGGTGAAATACTTTGCTCATAAATTGTGCTTATCAATTACTCATGTACTACATCGATCGATAATTCTCTCTTTGAGTTCACGAAACTGCCCCGACGCTCACAGTCATCTTTTAGTGTGAACCTTCCGTGAACGGCGTGTAGGTTTGTATGCAACGTGAGCATTTCTCTGAATTTTCCCAGCGCCAACATCATCAACTGACTTAAACTCGAACAATCAAAAAATTATAGAGTGAAAATTATAGTGCGAAAACATCCGTTTCTCCTCGCTCTTCGCCGCTGGGGACGTTTTCGCAGGCTAGTCTCTCCTATGATCGAATCGCTTCGAACAACGCAAATTGCCTTCTTCAGGCTCGCAACGCCTTCTGGGTTTCTGGGGGGCGGAGACGAGGTACAAAAAGTATTCGTGCAAGGGTCCGTGCAAGGGAAAATCGTATGAAACCATCTGTGAGAACATCGTTTCTCAGTACCAGACCCTCGTGTCTTCTCTCCCCCGGGGGACCGTTTTTCTGCACAGACGACCGAAAACCGAATTTATAATTGGGCAGCCCTGAAAGGGGCAGCCCAGTAATTAGTCAAAATGGGTGTTGTGTCCCAAATGACGTTTTAAATTGGGTCATTTCAAAAATGGTCTCGGTCAAACTATGATATTGAAATTTTGAACTGGCATCATCATGGTCCTTTTTCCTTCAATCTTCAGAAATTCTATCATTTTGTATACCTCTTCTGACTGGGAGGACGGGCGCGGAGGTGTTTATACAGCTGCTATTCGGGTAACAACAAAAACAGTCATTTGTCACTCAAATTCATTTCTGTGTATTGCAGTCTATTTTGCCGCCAGAGCGCCCAGCAGAGCTTGCTCGCAGGTTAGTGATAACATTATATCAACAAATTTGACTGATAAATCGACAATTACAAGCTTTCCGCTGATCGATTTCGGGCGACGTAGCTAGCGGCTATCTGACATTTGCAGGATTTCTACAATCAAACGTAACTGAAAAATGAAATTTTCTTAGCTTTAGTAACAAATTTCGCTTATTTGATTAAATCCCAAGCACAAGATGGAACCACGCGGGTAAAAATCGAGATGGACTGAGATTTCAAAAAACCCTACTAAGGAATCCTGTAACCAGAGGCCACCCAGGTTACATGCATAAATCACCCCCCCCCGCCCCAACCCCAAATTTTGCATAACCTACCGTAAAATTCCGAAAATAAGCCCCTCCATGTATAAGCCCCCCAAACCGGTAACGCAAAAATCCTCCATTAACTCGCCGCTCCAAATATAAGCCCATGTGGACTTGTATTTGGAAAATTGCCCTCAAATACAAAGTAAAACAAAGCAAAAACGATACATTTACTTCCAACTATAAGGCTAGCTTAATCGATTTTGAAACGCAAATTCCCTCCGTAGATAAGCCCCTGCGAATATAAGACCCTCCAAAAATAAGCCCCTCAAAAAGGGCCTTTGAAAAATATAAGCCCCGGGGCTTATTTTCGGTTGCAACGCAGGCTATTTTCTCTCACCCCAAAAAACACTTAAATAGCGACTGGGTACGAGTCTGTGGTCGTCCCTCAGCTGTGGGATAGCCTGCGAAAACATCCGTTTCTCCTCGCTCTCCGCCGCCGGGAACGTTTCGCGAGGAGAATTCGTAAACAATAGCTAAAACAACGTAACTACTAATCAGCGCTTCTGGCCGGATTCCGGACAGATTTTACGTCATCAGCATGGAATTTCTGTCGCTGAGTCGCAGACGTTACTCCGCGCGAAACGTCCCCATCGGTGAGGAGCGATGAGAAACGGATGTTTTCGCAGGCTATCTGTGGGACTATATATACCCAAGAGCATTTGCAAAGAAAGCCTTACCAATATTGGGGCACAAGTAGTTCAACTTCCCCTGATCATGCATCGCGTAACCGGGGAACCTTCCATTCCCACCCCCCTTGCCATCCCCCTCCGTCTCATCCCTGGCCAAGGTGTCGCCAAGACCGAACTGTATCTTGGGAAGAATGTGCGAATGATCTGGATGCTAATGTTGTGTTTGGCTTTCTTTCTCCTCTTGCCTCTCAAAACCTTTCGAAAAATATCCACTTTCTTTAGCATGAGAATTTTGACGAAGTCGCTGGTGGAGCAAGGGTTGTTCTTCTTTTGTCTTGTGTTGATATTATCCCATGCCTTCGTCCCAGAGCGAGACGGAATGTGCCACAAATCTGAACAGTCTTCCTGATGACGTTTTGCTGGCCATTTTAAGTTTCTGTGACACCAAAAGTCTGTCAGTCTTATCTCGCGTAAGCAAGAACCTTTATCGTCTCTCCAAGGATGATTATCTGTGGAGAAAAATTGCTTTGCGGTGTGTGAACGTGCGTCCTTCGGACCGAACGTAAGTGGATCTGTAGTGTTTGTAAGGATATAAAATTACAAAATTAATCCCTAAAGATAAATAAAGAAATAATTTTTAAAAATGTGTATTTCTCAGCAATCACATAAAATAATTTGAAAATATTAATAATCAAATGTTAGTTGCCACTCAATATATATCTATTCCTTCTTAAAGATCCAGCTGCCACCCGCCACTTGATCAAGAAACTTGCATATTTTAAGACCAAGGATCAAATTTCTTGATTTTACACAATTGCTTATCATAATCCAGTGATCCATCTAGAGAGTAGCTGCTGTGCATCCAGGGACTTAGACATGTATAAAACTATGAGTCTCAGGTCGAAGATTATGAGTCCCAGATCCACATTTAAAGGTGCATTTATGCTACAAAAAAAACAGGGTCAGGACTGCTCAAAAGTTGTATGGTACATATACAATTTTTCAGTGTAAAAGAATACTGGAGTTTCCACACGGTCATAGGCACCTATAATGTTTAAAAAAAATCCAGTATTTTTACAAAAGCTTACAATACCATACAACTTTTTTGGCTGGTCAGAACCAAGTTTTTCTGCTGTGTAAACTCCACCATCCCCAAGTAAAGTCTAGCTACATGGAAATTCAAGACGTTTAATATTATGATACTTTTTTTGTTCATTTTTTTTTTTTTTTTTGTTACCCCTCTAATGCCCACTTCACAAGGAACATTTTTGATAAATTTGATGCTGAGGACATGAGACCCTTTACTTATAATAGGACATGTTTTTATACTCATTAGATGTGGCTGGAACTGGAAGGAGATCTTTAGAGTTTCATGGAATTGGACACATGGATACTGTAGAGACAGGAACATTCTGAAGTTTAAGTGCAAGTCAGTTGAGTATTATTTGATCATTATTTATAAGACTTATATTATTGGAATCATACTGCATAAAAAATGTTCATGTTAGTATGTATGTACAGTCAACTCTCTCAAAGATGGATGTCTTTTGGACCGGCACTTCTGTCTGTCCTGGAGAGAGTTAAATAAACAGAGTAAAGAAAGACTTGGACCGTTCTAGGTTTCTGATTTACAGTCTTGTCCATCTTGTAGAGGTATGCGTCAAGAGAGAGTCAACTGTACCATTTCAACCTCTTTTTCTTTTTATCCATGCTGCTGAGTGTGTAGGTGTCGATTAAGGAAGCGAAGCTATTGCTGTTGTAACTGTGTACAATTTAAGATTAACCGTATGAACTGTGAACTTATATTTGCATCAAGTAATTATTGTAAACTACAGCCATATCTCTAAATATGGTAATAAATGATAAACATTTGCCTCTGAAACAGGAATGAATTAAGGTAATTCCCTTGAAAATGGTGGCACTAGCCAGTGTTTTTTCAAATTTTGCACAATTGGAAGTCATATCCCACACAAAGCCAGCAGATCTGCAACAGATCTGTTTTACGAAAAACAGTCTAACTGCAGACTATTTTATCGTCTGCAAAGTCTGTTTTCAGTCTGTAGCAGATGCTACTGCCTTCATCATCCGCAAAGATGTGTTCCTGCAGATGCATGATAAACAGATGAAAAACAGATCTGCACATGATCTGTAAAGTCTGCAGAGTCTGCAAGCAGTCTTCAGCGCATGTGTTCATCAATTTGAAACAACTAAGACTCCCCGGCCAGGCCCATTCGCTGTTTTGTTGATAAATTCAAACATTAGCTACATCCAATTTATTATAAAAAACATCAGAAAATTACCATACTTTCATCTTATTTTATTCAACTCTCAAGACTATGTACATGTATGTAGCTTTTCACAGTACATAATTTTTGCCGGTTAATCACATGAGTTCCATAACTGTTAACATGACTGAGTACTTACCAGTTTTACACAGCAACATTGAATGAACGCCATGTGCCTCATCCGTCATTACACTTAAACTTAACTCAAAATAAAATCTTACAGACGTGGAGTTTTAAATTTAAATTTTTAGCTGGGAAAAGTCATCATAATCATTATAAAAATCTGGACTACATAAGGGGCCCTCACACCTCTCTTTAGACAAATGTTGAAAATCACTGCCACCTTTGATGTGGCAATGTTATATGCAGTAGGTGAAGCGCAGTACAAAACAACGGAATTACCTTAGTAATGTTGTCAAGTTATACCAGTTAGTAGATACCCAATTTTAGCAATATGTCAATTTATTTTTGTACGAATGTGTATATCATCACTCTTCAATGAAAGAATGATAGCCTTTCCTTATGTCAGCTGCAACAACCTTGATCAACTCTCTGCATGTTTAATCTTCAGTCTTATGCCATGGATTCAGCTTGAGAGATCTAAACAACTATTTGTTGCACAAGCTGCTGATGTCATTGTGTATCAGAACAGAAGACGCAACAACAAGCAATCCTCATGGGAACCCATCAAGACCTTCAGGGGTCACCATGGTGATGTCAGTAAATTTGTTATTGCTGGTGATCAGTTGGTGACTTGTAGTGTGGATAATTCAGTTCGCACATGGAGCCTACAGACAGCTGAATGCTATGGTCTGTTTCATGGTCATACTGGTGTTGTACACAGCGTAGACTGTTTTGATGATGTGATTGTGACAGGATCGAGGGATAGAACTGTCAAGGTGATGATTTCTATTTACTTACATGTATGTTGTAAAATTCCTTCCATTAGTGGTCAACTTTTTAAAAAAAAAAAAAATCTCCCAAATACCTCCATGTATAAGTGCAAAAAGTATGAAAGCAAATAAGTTTTAAAACAGTTTTAAAGTGCAACCAACCCCCCAAAATGTGTTTCGCTTAAATATTATTGTCCTTGCCCCAGTTGTTGAAAAGGTGGATAGTGCTATCCGATGGATAAATACTTACTTGGTGGATAGTGATTTAACCCAGTAGATAGCGCTATCGAGCTTTTGAACAACCGGGTCCTGATGACTAGTGGGAAATATTTATCAAGGTTCGAAAAATCTGGCCCATTTCCACGGCTGTTTAAAGTTATGTCCCTTTACCGCTTTACCGAGCATTTGTCTACCATGTGTAATGCTTTGTCTTTCTATTTTCTTTAGAATAATGTTTGAGTGTGCTTAAATCACTACAGGTGTGGTCCCAAGAGAGCAAGTCTTGTGTTCACACTATTCATGTCGAGGATAACATTTGGTCAGTGTGCATCAACCCCAGCATCAGGTACAGTGTACTTTACTCATCAGTAATTATGGTGTTTCTAAATTGTACCAGTATCCATGCTTTCTCACCTCAGGGGCACCCAACGAGAATACAGTTCAAAACCATAGCATTGTTAAACGTATTTTAGTTAAATGGTAGATATAGGCATTTTTTATCCCCTAAAATTTTTCATCTGTTCGGATTTCCTAGCTGAAAGTCTAGTGATCCGAAAATTATAGGGATCAAAACTTACCTTTTCAAAAATTTCAGCTTGAAAAAGGCTCCCAAAAATTCTAGGTGACCTTTTTAGGGTAAAAATCCACTAAAAAGGGGCAATTATACCATTTTTTAGACGTTTGAAAATCTTAGGAGAGGCAGGCAAGCAAGAAAGTTTACAACAAATGTTCCAAAAATTCTAGATCTCAAATCCTCTTCTGAACAGATATCCTTCTGAAAATTGACGTTGGGTGCCCCTGTCACCTGCCCCTCCCCCCTCGGTTTTACAGTTCAAGGCTTGCCCTGGGTACTAAAGCATTGACAGCCAGTGGGCTCATTTCCCATCTAATACTAGTTCATGGATGTGCAAACAAAGTACGATATCCAAGATTGCAGCCAACAGTTTACTACAGATAACTCAGAATTGTGCTGATTTCTAAATAATATTAATTGCAACTCACAAAATAATAGATTTCCTCTCCAATTCAGTTAATGAAGTACATGCACAGTGGAACCTCTATTCAGGGGACACCCTCAAGACCAAGGGAAGTGTCCCCTGAAGGTGTCCCTTGGATAGAGGTGTCCCAATGGAGAGGTTCTGCTGTAATGTCTATATTCTAGATTAGACGTAACAAGGAGTTGGTATCTTGTAAAGAAAAGTTGAGTGTATTATTCAACTGTAGCTGCCGGTACTTCTTCAGGCCTTGTAAGGGGTAACCAAGTATTGTGGGATCACAAAGGAAACATTGGCATTATTATATAGTTGTTAAAGTGTGTATTTTGTTTTAGGTGTGTTGCAAGTGGTGGTAGTGGTCATATAAAGGGAGTATCGCCATTGCAACTTTGGGATATTGAGAGGTAAGGGTGATGTGTCTTTAGATGATCAATCAGGGCTGTCACTTTAGAAGATTTGTCTAAGATGCCGCATAAACACCCCAATGAGGCGGGGAATCCAACAGCTAGGGATTTCTTTTGGTTTTATTTTTCTTCTATTTTCTTGTGAAAGAAGCCAGGGACCATGTTCATAGTAGCTGGGGGAAATCCCCCGCCCCCGGCTCTTCAGGACAGCCCTGATTAATACAGTAAAAACCCGCATACAAGAACATCCATTTTCGGGGTTCAGGCTGATTGGGTTCTTATATATCGGGTATTTTAGGTGAAATCAGCCTGAAAGTGTTCTTAAGTGTTCTTAATTTTTTACTTCTAAAAAAATGTAAGTTGTTGTACATTTGCTATACACAGCAAGTGAAATTACTAGCATTTATACAAAGATCTTAGTGCAATACCACAGTAAAGCTACAGACACTGTTCTATTAAACTGAACAGGGAAGAGTTTTTATATATAAGAATAATTTTCAATTTTCAGGCTGAATGTGTTCTTATATATATGCTCCTTTTTTACCAAATTTCAGCCTGGGTGTTCTTAATCCACATGTTCTTGTATGCGGGTTTTTACTGTATTTGAACATTGTGTTATTTTAATTGGTCAAATTTGATAACATTATACTTGGGCAAACATACAAAATAATAAGAAGTAAAATGGTGTAGTATCTTTGTTTTGTTCCCAGAAAAAGCAGCTGCTGTACAAATAAATGATATAACTGTCATTCCAGTCAGGAGTTATGTCTGTTACTTCCACTGGAAAATTCTTCTTACTACAGTCAACTCTATTTACGATGGACACCAATGGTACCAGCACCAAGTGTCCATCATAGAGAGATGTCTGTCTTAAAGAGGGTCAAATGAAAGGGGTAAAGAAAGGCAGAGATCAACTCTTTATTGCCGTTTTACAGAGATGTCTGTCATATATAGAGAGGTGTCTGTTAAGAGAGAATCAGTACTAACATGTTCTCTTGCATTGTACTTGCAGTGGAAAACTGATGACCAGTCTGGTTTCTGGTGTAACTAAAGTAGGAGCTGGTGTTCGTGGAATGAAGTGGGAATCACCTCACACTCTCCTGTCCTGTGGCTATGACACCAATATCAGGCTCTGGGACATAAGGCTCAATAATTATAGGTGATACATTCTCTTCTTCAAGTTGCTAATTTCTCATAATAATTATATTATTTTATTGATGAATCTAATGAGACAAAGGGAGTCATTGGTTGGTGTTTCAATTGCAAGAGTCCCTTGAATGTTGCCTTGTGACCTGGGGCCCATTTCTCAAAAGTCCCATAAACTACAATAATTAACTCAGTCCCAAAGCCAAGTATTTAAGTAAAAATCTCAAGGATAAAAGACCTGTGCGAAATGTAGCTAACAAACCAGTCCAATTTGTTTTTGATTGATGACTGATAGTTTTATCATAATTTCTGAAAAAGTTGGAAACCTCAAGTTTTTGGGAAAGCCTTAGAGTGGCAAAGTAAGATTTACTCCTTCAGAGTTTGGAATACTCTGTGCACTGCATAACCTTAGCAAAAGAAAGAAAAAAAGGAAAAAGCTAACTTTAGGGTCACATTTTACACTGTCACGAGGTCCATGAGCTTATAAGTCTTGTTTAGCCTGTCAGCCCTTTATCTCCAATCAGTGTGTGCACACACTTTCCTAGCATTTAATTTGCAGCAACTTTATTTTTAATTTGCAGTGACTTTCAGGGTTCATAAAAAAAGGGCAACCACTTTTTAAGGACCACATTCGATTTTCAAGGACCACCTACCAGGAATGAAATAAAAAAAATAATAATAAATAAAAAATTTAAAAAAGGAATGTAATTTCACAGATTACACAAAAATGCACTTTTACAGTCCATTCTAACAGGACTTTAAGGCTTAAACTGTTTGCTCCTCCTACTTCTCTAAAGTTTTCAGTTCACTTGTCTTAAGGTGGCTTGATACAGTTTTTCATGGTCAGTACCTCCCAAGTTTGAGCATAAACTACGTCGCCATAAACAAAGTTTTGGAAAAATTGACACCACAGTTGTATTAGAGGAAGATGAAATTTGTTATGATGAGGGTTGCAACGGCATCGAAGTTGTCATAGCAATGAAATGACGCTATTACCTATTTTACTTGCAGCAGTATATCTTGGCACTGGGAACTGATCTTCGAAAATCATTCACGGGAGCTTTTTCCTCCAATAGCAGCCTTGATGTTCGTGAAGTTTAAGCAAAATCTGTAAGAGCGTTATTGAGATATTTTGGGATAAAGATTTTGTGGTTAGAAATACGGTAAAAAATGGACAATCTTGGTGTTCGGCTGTTATCTGTAGAAAACAAAGCGCTTTTGACATGCAATCTCACCGCATAGTAGTTTCAATCTTTTTATAAAAGCGTGTGTGAAAGATCAAGGAGATAGCTCCAGCCGATTGCTAGAAAGAAGGATTTGATTAGTATGTATCAAGGCGCTCTTGTTAGCGGTTTTTTGAACATTTTGGTCGACTTTAACAAATTAGCGAATAATTTTTAAACCGCTGGTTAGTTTTTTTTAAAAATTTAAGTTTCTTGAGATTAACCTTCCTTTTATATGACCTTTCAGTTTCAAGGTTATTGATTTATTGTAAGGTAGTGAAATAAGGGCTACAATTCGCTAATATTTTGGCAGAAATTTTGTGTTTACAAGTGTGAGCTTCTCATTATTCAGGGTATTGTGTCCAAGTTGCATATTTTCGTGCACAACAATAGCTAGCATTTTTGCATATTTCAATTGCATTGTTAGTTACTGCTGTTCACGTGAAAATGAAACTTGGAGACAATGTCTTGAATAATTAGATGCTTTCACTTGTAATGACAAAACTTCCGATAAAAAAGTAACGAATTGTAGTCCTTATTTTACTGCCTTACAATGTATCAATAATCTTGAAAATAAAAGGTCATATCAAAGGAAGGTTAATCTCAAGAATCTTAAATTTTTAAAAAAATCTATCGAGCAGTTAAAAAATTATTCGCTAATTTGTTAAAGAAGACAAAAATGTTTTCAAAACTGCTAACAAGAGCGCTTCGATGCATACTAATCAACCCTTCTTTCCAAGGCTGGAGCTATCTCCCATGATCTTTCACACACGCTTTTAAAAAGATTGAAACTACTATGAGGTGAAATTGCATGTCAAAAATCGCTTCATTTTCTACAGATAACGGCCAAACAATAATATTGTCCATTTTTTACTGTGTTTCTAACAATAAAAACTTTTCCCAAAATATCTCGATAACACTCTTACAGATTTCGCTTAAACTTCACGAACATCGAGGCTGCTATTGGAGGAAAAAGCTCCCGTGAATGATTTTCGAGGAACAGTTTTCAGTGCCGAGATATACTGCTGCAAGTAAAATAGGTAATAGTGTCATTTCGTTGCTATGACAACTCCGATGCCATTGCAACCCTCATCATGACAAATTTTCATCTTCCTCTAATACAACTGTGGTGGCAATTTTTCCAAAACTTTGTTTATAGCCATAGTTTATGCTCAAACTTGGGAGGTATTGACCCTGAAAAACTGTATCGAGCCATCTTAAATTGATAGTCAGTTATTGCATAAAACAAAAGACACTTTATGTATTAAATCACCTTTAACTTCTCCTCCCTATGATTTATACTCTGTCTTGGACAAGCAAAAAGCATCCAGGCCACTAAATTCAAACTTGAAGAAAATTCAAGGAGTTTTCAAGAGCTTTCACAGAAATGTAAGGCCTTAAAGGAAAAAGTGGAATTCAAGGACTTTAATTTTCCAGGACTTCCCCTAAAATTCAAGGACTTCAAGAATGTGTGAACCCTGACTTTTTTATTGGGCATGTCCCCTGTGGGCCACTGTACCAATATTTTAAAGTAAATTTCTGATCATTTAATGAAATCTTTTCAGTGTCTCATCCTGTGTTTTAAAGTGGGAAGACCCTCACGATTCAGTAGTGTACTGCATTGATTCTGATAACAAGTGGATGGTAATCAGTGGAACCAATAGATATGGAGTGGTAAGTATATAATACATCAGATTATACAGTGAAATCACAAGGCTTTGCCTCTTCCGTGCATGATACCAGGATGTTTTTGTCCGCCGTTTACTGGTAGGTCTGGGAGTAAAGGGACAGTTCCCTTTGTTCCTTGCCAGAACTCTGGGTGTTAGGGTGTGTACAATAAATATTATTTTTTACAAGTTGGTGTGCAGAATCATTAATCTAGAATTGAAGCATTGTCACTGTAGACAGCTTAGTTTCTTGATGTTCATATTTTATAAAGGATTGGCTAGAAAAATAATATAACAAAATTAATAACAATTAATTCATTATTAAAATTGTCAGTTAACTTAATGTGAAGGATGATTTATTTTAGAGACTGAATGTATGAACTTATGTAACAATGTAGCCACAAATTCTGCAGGATTGTCAGTTTTCTTTTAATTGCATTTAACAGTGTTGCATTATAAAACCCTAAACAGGGAAATTTTATGCAAATTAGGAGGTAGTCAATTGCTCTTTTGATCAACTGCCTGCATTTTTTTGGCTCACATAAGAATTCAAGCGAATCTTATGAGTCTATAGCTACTGTAGGCACAAAACTAGGGGTATTATCACCTCAACATCACCCATTTATTTTATTTTATTATCTTTCTTTCATTAAAAAGGTACGAATATGGGACAAGAGATTTAGAAAGAATGTTCAGGTACGAAATATACTGGTATATATTTTTATTGAAAATATTTCTCTTTTTGATTGGCT